TTATTATTCAAGCACAACTTGCAACTGTACATTGATTATGTATTTACTAAAAATATTATTTACTGAAAAGACATTGTATTAACATGTTTGAAGGCACGACAATTTGCTTTGCAAGTTTGTGGACAGAAGGAACGCATTTATAATGTTGTTTAGTATTATTCAATTCAACGCACTTACTGGTATGAAACATTGTAGGTATTATATGTATGTATTTTCCTGGAATGCATAAGCAGGAAACATATTAAAAATAAATAACGCACACGCTAGTCAAAATATACTTTTAAAATAATGATCGTATAATGAGCTCACCATTGTTATTATCATAAAATATTATAAGACAACTATGGTAACTCCATACAAACGTAGCCGCGTGACTTGTATTCACATTTGCGTGATGTCGCGGTGCACTCGCATTGCGTAGCGCTTGTCGTCACACTACAAATTAGAAAGATATACTAAGGGTGCGTACAGATCTGACAAATGCGCAGCACGCACGTTCCACGCGTGCATTTAAGTGTGCCTCTATAAGGTGAGTATCCATTAGATTCGACCACCAAATCTGCTCCGCGCATCTGTAACCGCTCAAATGGAGACGTTACGAGCATCACTACAACAAAAAAACTAAGTGCTCCATCGGTTCGCGCATCGACTACGTTCCGCGCATGTACAATTGCTCCACAGTTTTCATTTGAACGTTGAGCGAACACCAATGTTGCTTTGCTCGCGTCCACGACCACAATGCGCTCCGTTTCGTGTTCGTGCAAAATCCGCCAACACGCGGAGCGCTCTCCGCGGTGCGTGCAACGTGCAACGTCCACTAATGGAGCAGTTGCGGATGCGCGGAGCACAGTTGGTGTGCGAACCTAATGGATACCCACCATAATGACATCTCATGATACGCGCGGACTGCACGCGAAGTGATCGCACTACGTAATGCACGTGTGCAGCTCGCAAGACTTTCGCAAACGGGTGTATTCGCGGCGTATTCGCCAATGTAACAATATTACTTGCACATGTGGTTGCATCAAGCTATTATTATGGTTGGTTATCCTTTTGTCGTTCGATCGGAATATCACTCAGACCGAAACAATATTTATGTACACATAAAATAATACTTAAAGTTAAAATAGATGTATAATTATGAGCTTTCTTGATAACGAATTAATGTATTAAGAATATTTATAAATAAATGTGATTAATGTACGACGTTTGATTTCAAATAATTTTTACTCTAGTTATAACTATAGTCCATTTGTTTAGGTACTTAAATAAATGTAAACAATCTTGAGATGTCTATTTAATGAAATATACATTTATAAAATGATTTTCCCTTACCTTCAAATACAAAAACATGTAAAGCATGTGTTCCAATAAAAAGACGTATCAAGATTGTTTACATTTAGTTAAGTACCTAAACAAATGGACTATAGTTAGGCATTTAATAAGGTTGTAGAAACATTTTAATGTTTTCAGTTGTAATTTTTTGGTGGATATTTTTATTGACAATAAAAGAAATCATCGTGGGGAAATTCACTTGTCAGTGTTACCACACTGCCAATGTCCCAACCAGCTCCTGCAGTAAGATTAATAAGTTGGTACCGTTTCTATTTGTGGTAGGGTTGGATGTACATAGTCGTGTTGGATTAAAATTGTCGCGTTCTTTGTGTTATCCTTTCGCGTTTTTTTAGGACTATGTTGACTTTTAATAGTATGTTGCTGCGTTTTGTGACCGCGTTAAGGTATTTATTTATGTAGTTATTTGGGCAAAAGAGGCACACCATCAACAACTGTATCGAGTGTTTTGGAGCACCAAATTATGTCGTGTGTGGTACACACGCATCAGTATGCATAGTAAGTAAGTATGTTATGCAAACGTCAGTAAACTATATGGAAGCTAAAAATTACAATTCCTATGTAGTCGTGGTTGTTACACATTGGACATGAAACTAGTTTTTCGGATTTTCGAATTGAAACGTCACTGCTGACTTTAAAAGTAAATTAATATTAGACATAACCAGTTGGTGACTTTACCATCTCAATCAGCCGTGAAGTAAAGGACCCGAAATTTTGGTTTGATAGGAAAAACAAATTTAAGTGATTTAGATCCGAAAAATTACTTCCATTTCCAATTACAAGCCAGGGCTTCTGGTTTTAATAGGGCAATACTAAAATTTGTCGATAAATTAGAATCTTGCTTTAAACAAGAAGGTTTTTTTCTACAATTTTAGTAGTACTTGAACATTGAATGTTCCTGGAGGCACTTTATCACAAAGGGTCTTTAGACGTTCAAGATAAGATAATGCCATAATATCCTTTTGTATTTGTCGATATTTCCATGACACATTCCCTTAAAGAAAACAAAAGCCTTTCAAATCGTATACGTCTAGTTTCAACAATAGAGTTAAAACATCGGCTACTGGTTATATAAAGATGACGCGTTATTTGCCATAGAACTTAGCGCTATACCAGTTAATTGGACGGAGGAAAAATCGACCATATTTTCACGGCATTGAAAACATTCATCGTCAGTCAGTCGGGGCGCGCGCTGCGTTGTTACGCTGTAGCTAGTACCTGATAGGCTATCAGAGAGATAAGAAGTTTTATACTTGTGTACTTAGTTCAGTATTGTGAAGGAAACTGACATAGCCACATTCAAATAATTCCGTGCATTTTCCAGTGCAGAAAATGGCGCAGAATAATCTAGAAATGGGTATGCGATGCATAAAGTACATGCTGCTATGTGTCACAGCAATTTTCGTGGTAAGTTTAGTTTTTGAATACTTTTCATTATTGTAGACTTTTCAAGTGCTCTTTTCAAGTGATTTACTAGTGTGGTGTTATCGGTTGTTTCGGTATGTGGTGGTGTACGTAAGCGCTAAGTACAGTCGCGAACACGAGTTACGTTTGATGTGCTAAGTGGCCTTGAATTTTTCATATTCATATGTGTTATTAATTTTGGTGTGTATGTGTTGTGCCATGGTGGTATATAGTTTTATATTGTTTCTTTATTTTCCTTGTTTGTCTCAAGTAGAAACTGCAACATTGACAAGGATAAAAGCACTTATTTCCATTGTTATATTATGACGAACGATACGAGCAATATTGTTTTCTAAACGATGTCGACGTCTAGTATAGCGAAGTATGCGAAATGCCTCTTGGTCAATCAAGATAAAACATTGATTGCAGCATTTTCCTATCCACTTATTGTTCGTATATTGTGACTCAGAGAGTATTTAGTTTTTGAATGTCGCAATGCAGTACAAAGAAATAAGTTTCAGTACAGAGCACCTTGTGCAAGAGTTCATCCAAGAACTGCCACCTTACCTATTTCTGCCGCCAAGCAGTTATATAAGCATTACTATGTTCCTTTATGAAACTACAGGCACATGGGACTTGTCAACTTACGTCTCAGGATGACGGGCGCAGTGGTAGTGCCCTTCCGATATTTGCGGCTAAAACCTCTGAATGGCATTGCAACTGTTATGAACAGGGGCGTGTAGCTTACCACCAGGCCGACGACTTATTCGTCCCGTCGCTTGGTACTATAAAAAAAAGTTTTTCATTATTTTCGATTATTGTTTGGAAACCCTGTATCGCGGGTGCCATGGACACATACAAAGAACACCACAAATTACACCCAAACTCACGAGAGAAATAAATGTAGGCCAAATATTTATATAATACAAATATTCCTCCCGGCCCGGGAATCGAACACGGGACCTCTGCGTGGCAGTGCAGCATGGTGATTAGCTTATTGCTTACTACCAAGCGACGGGACGAACAAGTCGTGCGCCTGGTGGTAAGCGACACGCCTATCGGTAACAGTTGCAGTTGCAGTGCCACTCAGAACTTTAAATAGCAAAGATCTTAGGGGCACTATGGGCACTACCACTGCACCTTGAGACATAAGTGACAAGTCCCATGTGTCGAGTTCTTAGGTTTTCGCGATTGTTACACATAGGAAATGAAACTATTTTTCCGGATTTAAATCGCGTATATTTGTTTTTTGGTCACGGTTGACTGCCAACCGTGACCATGGGACCTGTAAAGGGCCCGAAACGTCGGCTTGTTTGAAAAAACAAAAATATACGCGATTTAAATCCGGAAAAATAGTTTCATTTCCAAAGTCCCATGTGCCTGTAATTTCACCACCACCTCTACCCTTCCAAACCGGAACACATTAATGTTGCCACTACTGCTTGACGGCAGAAATAGGTTAGGTACTTTACTGGACGAACACTTTCACCAAGAGTTCTACTACTAAAAGTATTATTATTTTTAACTTTTATGCTAATTGATGATAAACATGTTAAAATTTATCTATCTCTAAGGTGCAATTTCTGGTGTGGGTTTCAGGTTAAAATTAAATGTAAACGAATAATTACTAAGAACCCATTTTAGTCACACACGCAATCTATACTAGTCACAGGCAAATAATCAATAGGTCGTACTGTGCCTCTTATACATACGTAAGTGGACAGTGACAACACAACAAGGAAACACTTTCCGTGTAGAAAACCCTGCACTACTAAGACTTTTCGGTTTTGTTTACATAATTATCACTTAGGAAATGAAACTATTCTTAAATAAAACTTCAAAAAAGGAGTAGGTTCTGAATTCGACTGTATTATTTTTTGTATGCATTTGTGAACCAATTTCGATGATTCTTTTTTGTTGGAAAGCGGGTAGCTCAGTATTGGTCCCATTTATATTTTAACAACATATTCCACTTCTAAGGGTGGCAAACACGGGGATGAATCCGGTTCCGTACACTTTCTGGTAACAGATTTCAATAGAACTTGGCAAATAGATGTAATTCCACGAATCGTCGGGATTTTTTTAATAAAAAAGTTATTCAAGTCTCTCATTTGTCCGCAAAAACCTTACGTCAATTTATACAATGTTGACCTTTTATTTAGATCCGAAACAATAACTTATATTTGTTTTTTCAAACCAACCATTTTTACGGATCCCATGGTTACGGTTGACTGATCATGGCCACGATGGTTTGTTTGTATACGCGATTTGATCCGAAAATTTTGTTTCATTCATGTGTAAATCGCGAAAACCTAAGATCTCCATGATTATCACTTCATTTGAGAGCAAAGAAAAAATCGCGTTGCCTATTTTTGCCGCCAATCCGTAATGTAAACATTATTGCATTCCGGTTTTGAAGGGTAAGGGTGCTGGTGAAATTACAGGCACATGGGACTTGTCAATTGTCAAATGTCTCAGGGTGACGGGCGCAGTGCCCCTCAGATCCTTGCGATTCAAAACTCTGAAAGGCCTGCAACTGTTATGGACAGGCGTGTCGCTTACCACCAGACCCACGACTTGTTCGTCTCTCACATGGTATCATAAAAAAGGTGAATATTATTATTGATGTCGGTACATAACTAGCGAGATACCTATTGCATGGTAGATATAAATCTTAGAATAATATCGCATAGAATGATAGTTTCATATCAAACGAACTGTCACAAGTGAGGCAAAAATCAAATTCATGTAGGCTAGTTTTAGTAGTAGGTTAATTTTCGGTTTTAGTGAATATTTATATAAAAATACAAGTTGAAACGCGTTACTTCCTTGCGGAATGTGATGTTAGTATCTATTTTATGTTTGTCTGACGTATTTTTACACTTATTTACCGCACATTTCGTCGTTTTTAGCTAAAATTCTTGAGCTGTTCCCTGTTGACCTTTAGCACTGACGGCCCGCCCGCTCGTGTAGGCCCTTTGGGAGCGCTTAAATTTGCCTCACTTAGCGTGTGCGGACTAGGTTTCTATGCGTTATTATTCTAAGATATATTTTTATTACATATCTTTACAATATATGACTCTCTTAACTTCTTGTGAATGAATTTTCTCTCATGTAGCTCTTTTATGGTTCTGATACATATTTTGTAGCTTAAACTCGACTCTGATATTGCAAACGAATATTGTTTATTGTTCGAAGTTAAAGGAATTTCAATACAATGAGGTCGGTAGGTATGTACAGTCTGTAACTAACATGAAATAAAATGTGCAATGATGTATATATGTCTTGCGCTGTTATGTAGTTAAACTTGAGTATGTGTAGGTACGTGTTAGATTGAGCATGCTAAAGGTACATAGATTTTTATTGATTGATATTTGACACGCTATACGTATGAGGTATAAGTACAATTGAATACGTTACATTTATGTTTTTAGTTACCTCAACATTTTTGAGCAGTAAATTTGCTCTTCGTGGTAAATTAAAAAAAGATTATAGATACTTGGGTTACCAATAACAGCATCGCATTTTGTATTGAGTTACATTTTTTATGATATTAAATGACGGAACAAACAAGTCGTGCGCCTAGTGGTCAGCAGATACGCCTACCCCTAAAACTAGCTGTCAGAGCTTCAAGTCGCAAAGTCTGAGGGTCTCTGATAATACATTGGGCTTTCAATCTCGCTACATTTCCGCGTCCCGAAAAAAGTCGAGACTCGGTGCGGTCTCGAAAATCCCGGGATAAACGAGGGTTTCCATATTTGTATGGGCTAGGCGTTTAAGCAGTTAAACCGTGATGTTTTATTCAAATTCTTTATTAATAACTCATGTTATAAAATAAAAAAAAAATTATTTATGACAGTTTCTTTTTTCATTTTTATAGTGGGTATGAAAGAAACAAAGAGTATAAAATAGTTTGAAATAGAGAGGACCTGGTTTTATTACTATTCATTCTTCAATCTCCAGAGATTTTAAGCTCCACTCTACAGCGTTGCCATAACCATGCCATCAGAATAAAAAATACTGTCAGTTTAGTACATTTCTTAATACTATTTAATTAAGTGACTTAAGTCTCAAAAGTCTCGATTTTCTCGAGACTGAAAACTTGAATCTAAAAACTCGAAAATCCCAAAAAATTGTCGAGACTCGAAATTTCCGAGACCAAGATTTCTAGGACGAAAGCCCCACACTGCACCCGTCACCCTGAGATATAAAGTTAACAAGTCCTAACGCCTGCAGTTGCACCAGCAGCCTTACCCTTGAAAACGGGAATGCAGTAATGCTTACATCATAGAAATAGGTATAGGAAAGAACTGACGAGAAATCTTGCAAGCAGTTGCACCGATATCTTCAAAACATAGTTAGAGCTATCAGGCAAATGAGAGGGAACTAAGTTGTTATAAATAAACAGATAGCCAGACTTAGTACTGGACTTATTACAAAAAACAAAGATCAAACGTTTCAGTTCACCGTTTGTAATTATGCAATTTTCGTCCATTATAGCAAAGCTCAAATTAACTGGTTGATTTGAAGTGAAACATTGACGACACCTGTCAATTGTTTCGAATTCGGGCTAGCCATTCGGAGCGCAGTTGCCATAGTAATGATATGGCAGAATAGGTTTCAAACAAATTAAATAACATTTCGTCTCTATTTCTGGTTATATACTCGATGGTTTTTAACTACTTTTTGTTGTAGCGCCATCTGTGAGAAATCTTATGAAGATATTTTATGAACTAATCAAGCAACTTTCATATGGCCATATATTTACTTTCACACGCAAAATAGGCGCCTTGTCGTCGAGTTGCGGACACCAGCCCGTTACACCAAGTACCAATATTTACTTTCTTAGAATAATTATAACCATGAGTCCAAATCGTAACCTAAATTAGAAATGCTTTCATGATGATGGTAGATATATTAATATTCAGAAAAATTTTGTTGCTATGCTTAAAAATGTAGGCACGGGGAAAGTACATTAACTAGTAATGCAAACATATCGAGTTCTTAAGTTTTTGCATTTACTATACTTTGCACAAGAGCCCATACATAAATATTTTGTAAAAATAAATAAACAAGACACATATTCATAAGCAAATCAATAAAAAAGATTAGTAAAGGTACAATTTCGGAAATGTAGTGGAATCTAGTGCCAATAAAATGGATGGAGCCTCAGCACCACATGCTGCTTTTCAAGTTCCACCTTGACACAAGGACATTATCAGACTTAACAATAATTATGTACTTAAAATTTGTGGGACATGGTTTAAATTAATTTATTATTTTAATGTCCGTAGAAACGTATATTGCGAGTAAAAGAACAGTAGGTACATAAAAAGTACAAACGGCACTGGCACAGGTTTCAACTGTTTTGATAAATATAATAACAAATAAAATAAATAACAATTGCTTAGTTGAGAAATAATCTAATGACAAACATAAAACAATACGGAACAAAGGAACGATTTTCATTTGTCTGTTAAAATATATTTAGATCGGAAAAACGTTTCATTTCCTATTAATAATACGGAGAACGGTCACTGAGTTGCGACTGTACCCGTGTAAAGAAGACTTCTAATATCTTATAACACTATCTACCTACCTGGTGACCTGACATACATAGATACGCTTAAAAATCCTCAAGAATTTTAGGCAATATTAGGTATATATATATATATATATATATATATATATATAGAAACTCTAAACTATACAAACTCTAAAAGCCATTATAGCGCGACGACGCCAAGGTCAGACTATGGTTTATCAATAATATTGATTTTATGTCACAGTTTATAACTGCGCCACGTGTGTGGTTAATCTATTCTTGCGTTCACACTTTAGAATACAAACTTCGATGACGACGTTTTCGCCGAATCCCACTAAATATAAAATCTAGTGATGATATATGCTTTCCTTAATAAATTTTAATAACCTTTACCATTCGAAGTACTGTTCGATAGAACTAAATTTACTATGAGCTTTTCGGTGAAGGGAAACGTGATGAAACCTGCATGTCAAAGATGGTTCACCACCTTCAGAAAACGTGCGAAGTCCCCAACCCGCATAGGTTCCCAAAATTATTGGCTCACCGCCTTTGGCAAGATTTTTTTAAAATAAAATGTAAATGCGCATTTGACCTTCATCTCACCTGATGGAAAGTGACGATGAGGCTGACGATGGAATATGCGCACTTAAATAATGCCTATTCAATATCGCCTTGAAAAGATCCAAGTTATAACGTTCAGGGATCAAGTCTGAAGGCAGAGAATTCCACTCCATAGCCGTTCGCTATATAAATGTGGAAGCGTAACGCTTCGTGCGAATCTTTGGAATATCCACAACATAGGGGAACCCAAGCCTACGTCTGGTCCCCCGATGATGGAAAGGGGAAGGCGGAATTAAATCGTGTAATTCCACCGCATATATTTGATATATTCCGTGATATATTTTTTGTAAAATACCGATAAGCAGGCAACTTTACAGCTGTGTTCAAGGCTCTGCAGCTGGTATGTAACAGAGCCATCCTAAATGTGGCAGCAGTACGCCATACACGGCAAAGGTGACAGCGGTACTGCATGCATAAGATAAAAAAAATTCAACGAAAATTCTACTACAAAAAACAATTGAAAACACGTAATTTTTATGATGAAACAAAAAATCACAAGGAATAAAATTATATATCCTCACCCCAGGACCCCTTGTAGGTTTAGCATGGCAGGGCGCGACTTGCGCGAGAGCAACATAAAGCGCGAGATCTCAAGGCAAGAATAGCAGTATCTCGCGCTTTATGCCGATGTCGCGTAAGTCGCGCCTTGTCATGCTAGCCCTGCTGGACAGCATCAACGGCCCCCAATTGCTTCCGAAACCCCTACCACCCCCTAGGACTCTTCATACCCACTGGGGACGGTACAGGGACCACTTTGGGAAACTATAGTCTAAACTCTCGCTTGATTGAGACATTGACATAAAGAAAAAGCCCTATGGAAGAATTGTTCATAACACATTGTTTGGGATTCGCAAAGGCTAACTGCATGCGCAGTGGATTAAGTTCGCGGTAATAGAGCGTGTTATGGCGTGGAAGATGATCAGAACATGAAAAAGAAATGTTGAGAGCAGAGCCTTTTCTTTGCCCTGGTTACTACACTACTAAAATTCTTATTTAAACTAGCACGTTTATTGCGCGTGTGCACCAGGACGAGAGAGAATGAAAAGTGTTGCACTTTTCACTCTCTCTCGTCCAGGTCCACACACACAGCGCAAACTGACAAAAAATATTATTAAAATTAAATTACATAATTTATAGCGTTGGGTAATTTTCCGAAACATTTCAAACTATGATTCGATTCAATTCCTTCGACGTTTAGATATATCTCTTAATGTCTTATTTAGCATTAATTACAAAATAAAATTGTATGAACATTGCTAAATATAATTTTCTAAACCCTGCTTGCCTTTTTTCTCAAATTCTCGTAATTAATAGAGTCATAATAGAGTTCAGAATCTTCGACTTTTGACAGGGGTCATTGTCAAATGTGGAAAACCAAAATTTAGCATGTTCTCTGGTAATACTTGAAGAGAAATATCTCCATATAAAAAAATATGTACAAAATTAGATATTTTATTCTTAAATAATTCGTATTCGGCTTTTATCATAGCCTGTTTACAAGATCTTATGGAGTTATATCTTGTTTCACATTCATTAGCACATTCTTTAGACAATATCCCTAGGTGTATCGTATATTTATTATAAGATCGTTATTTAATAGTAAATAGTTAAACAACTTGATCGAGCAAAATAGTTTTTCCCACTTCTCCTCCGGTGACTCTCCTTAAGTATTTTTAGTAACACAAAGTAAGCAATTCCTTAGCTATTAAAATTTCAATAAATAATACGTTTGTTACAGCTCACATCAGCACTAATAATCTCCGTCGGCACAACAATCTACGCGATCTACTACGATGTGTCGATGTTCCTGGACGATAAGTACTTCTCCCCTGCGACGTTCATCATAGTTATTGGCATCATCATGCTGTTTGTTTCCTTGTTTGGATGCATCGGAGCTCTAAAGGAGAGCACATGCTTGGTTAACATCGTGAGTATATGTATTTGCTTTAAGAATTCTTAATTGATCCTTTTTTAGACAGGACTCCTAGCTCGAGCCACTGTGGCGTCGATTTCTGCCGCTCGGGGCAACCTTAAATTTGCTGCCCCTTCTATTTTCACGATTACAATAGTAATTCGTTCGGGCAGGCTAGACTCGATGGTGTTTTTATGTTCGCCTGCCGTCGCCATCTTTGTGGTTTCCAGGTTATTGTTTGTTTAAATAGTGGAATTTATTTTCTAATTTTAAGCAAAAAAACTAAATTTTGACTAAGTAGTTAGTGTTCGGCTGCGTCGGCGCTCGCCGCCCCCATTATTTTGCCCGGGTCCATGGCCCCATCTCTACCCCCCACGTACGCCACTGTCGTGGTACGCTTGTTGAGACGTCTGATTTTTTGATAATTATTATTATTATTATTTTCACCCATTTTTCAGATCGTCTCACAGAAATTAAACTTTTTTTTAAGACGAGTTGTTTTTAGCTAATATAAGTTTAACATCGGAAATGAAACTATATTTCCAAATTTAAATCGCGTATATTTGTTTTTTCAAACAATCTCAGCTAACCGTGACCCTGGGATCTGTGAAGGGCCCGAAATGTTGGTTTGTTTGAAAAAACAAATATATGCGATTTTAATCCGCAAAAATTGTTTTATTTCCTATATGCAACAAGCGCGGAAACCTATAACTCGGTAATATAAGTTTTATTTTATACTAAATTCCATATAGTGACTAATTTGACATGAATGAGTCACTAACGTTAACCGAGGCGCTAAAAGGTAAAAACAAACAATAAATAATCAGTTTAATTACATTCACGCCTGTGGTGGGTATAAGCATAGTACATCGTGTATATAATCAGAAATAGAGACGAAATTTCCTTTAATTTGTTTGAAAGCTATTGCCATATAATTACGGTGACAACTGCGCTCCGATTGGCCAGCTCGAATTCGAAACAATTGATGGGTGTTGTCAATTGTTTCACTTCATATTAATAAAGACGACTATTATTTGATGTCATGTTTTAAACATTGAGCGATCGCTTCGGAGTTACCATACTTGTCTTTTTATACCACGGCACGTGTCAATAAGGTCTTTTGAATCTCCCTTTATTCTTTATGCATTTTTTCTTCTTCTCCTTAGTTTGCGGTAATACTGAGCCTGGTGTTGGTCCTGGAGCTATCCGCAGCAATTACTGCGTATGTGATGCGTTCTAAAGTCTCAGATATGTTGGACGACAATCTGAGAGCCACATTACCATACTACTACGAGAACCCTGAGGTCCAGGCTGCTTATGACTTCATCCAAAGCAGAGTAAGTCAAACAATAATAATAATGCACACACTCAACATAGCCCTGCACTAGAGAAACCCTGTGTCGCGGGTGCCATGGACACATACGAGTACATAGACAATCACAAGTTGTACCCAAACTCACGAGAGAAATAAATGTAGGCCATACAAATATTTCTCCCGACTCGGGAATCGAACCTGGGACCTCTGCGTGGCAGTCCGGCATGGTTACCGTTCGGCCACGGAGGCAGTTGTGGGATAATAACCATTAAACAGATGAATACCTATGTAAATACATAATACTTTCTTGTAATAGATGTAAAGGTATAAGTTACCTATGAACTTCTTCAACATTTCACAACTAACCAGGATATTTATATGTATAAAAAATAACATTTATTCTTGTAAACTTTTTCTTTATACTGCGGCAGCTGTCAAATACACGTTTAAAGTTGACGAATTTATAAAAAATATATATTAGAAACGCAAAGATTATACGCTAGACAGAAAAAGTGGCACGTGGCTTAATAGACAAAAAAGTTTGGGAGCCTCTGGCTCAGACAAATGAATACAATATTTAACTTTTCATTTGTGCAGAAACATCCTACTATTGTTCTACTATTGTTAGACAATGAAAATACAAGTCAATTAATTGATGAAATCACTGCATTTCAGTTAAACTGCTGTGGTGTGGACAGTTACGAAAATTGGGGAGACGTACACCGCCCACCCACCTACCCAGGCGGCATCGCAATCAACAACATCACGGTCCCCAATTCCTGCTGCGCCGAGTCAGTGGTCGACGAAGCCTTAGGCATTGACGAGTGCACCAAGTTATATGCCAACGGATGTTTACCGAGAGTTGTCTATGTGGTATACCAGAGCGCTGGACTTCTGGGAGCTGGAGCTATGACTATTGCTTTCATTCAGGTTAGAAATGAGCAAGACTAATTTACAAATATACTTTAGAATTTAAAAGGTTGTAAACCCAACGAGCTGTGACCAGGTTGATGGCAATAAATAGGATACTTCAGTCCGCATTGAATTTATTCCCAATTACATTGAAAGAGAAAAAAGAGACTGTAACAAAAAAGGTGAACGCTATAAAACACTTCCTACTTAAATACTAAACGTGAGACTGGCTTACCCCGAAAGGGCCGAGTTATACGGTATTACAGATTGGTATTACAATTGGCACATGATTAGTAGTAGTTATTACAGATTGGTATTACAACTTGGTAAAATTAGACGCAAATGTAATTAGTGCCGTAGTGTCGCTGCCACGATCGAGCAGGGATGGAACGAAGCAAAATCAGAATGGCGAGGCAAAGGAATTAAAGAACAATTCAAAATTTAAAAACAAGTGGCCAGGAACCGGAGAAAAGGCAACAAAACGAAGGCATGACGATGTAAGGATGTCAAATCGTCACAGAATATATCGTTTTACTTTAGTTCAAGCCGTGGTAGCTGGTTTATCTTACCGCCTCTCAAGCAGAGGCTGTGGGTTCGAATGCGGGCTTGCTCCTTTGAGTTTTATTGAAATTTAAAATGAGCTTTTCGATTAAGGAAAACATCGTAACGAAACTTGCACGTCTTAGAAGGTTCACAACTCTAGGAAAACGTGTCATGTCCCTAACCCGGATTGGGCCAGCGTGGCGGACTATGGACTAAACCCGCACGTGAGAGGAGACCCGTGCTCAGGAGTAGGACGTATAAAAGGGATGATAATGATGATGATTAGTTTAGTTTTATTAGTTTTTATACTTTATTCATGAATTGATATCAAATGTATACTCTTATTTCTAAATTTCGTTTTTACGCTTTATGCCAGAAACGGAAATTGCCAAACGGGCAGAATGTCAGAATAGCAGAATGCCAGATTACCAAAATGCCAGATTCTCAAAATGCCAAATGTCGCCTAGCTAACACAATGCGGTCAGTCGACATCTTTGTTGTGTTAATTATTTTGTTCTTAGATCAAAACTGCTTTTCAAAAAGAGTTCGTCTGGGGAAGTGCTGCCACCTTACCTATTTCTGCCGCCAAGCAATGATGTGTGCATTACTGCGTTCCGGTTGTGAAGGGTAGGGATGCTAGTGAAATTACATGCACATGGGTCTCGTCAACTTGTGCCACAGGGTGACGGGTGCAGTGGCAGTGCTCCTGAGATCTTTGCGATTTAAAGCTCTGAGTGGCACTGCAACTGTGTTGTCGACAGGCGTGTCGCTTACCATCAGGCGCACGACTTGTTCGTCCCGTTGATTGGAATCATAAAAAAAGCTGCGTAAACTTAATCATGTCGTTATTTTTAGGTTATTAATTATATACTTATTACAAATAATGACGAAACATTTAAAATTTACGACTACTCATAAGCAGGATGTCCTCATTGTCAGACCGCAATGAACAATGCAATGAAATGTGATGCGAAAAAAGACCGGGGATTTCACTCTCAGACACCAATTCAGTTTGAAGTGTTTGTTTTGAATTTGTTTTTTATTTTATTTTAGGTGATCGGCATCGTGTTCTCCTTCTCATTGGCAAGTGCGATTCGAAAAACCAAAAATAATCGCTTACACCGAAGATGGGAAATCCAGGAAAGTATGATCAATCCTCACACATCTCTTAATCCTAATCAAGAAAAGATACGTCCTGTGGTCTACGTTCCTTTTCACGGACAGACAAATGCTTAAAGATGCTAATGAAAAATGAAAACCAGCAGAAAACTTGAGATAACATCAACGAAATGATAACGACAATTTATTAAAATATATATATTTTTAAAATTGGATTTTACTATCTATGTAAGAGAAGAATGGCATTTGTTTATTGAAGCTTATATTTTAAGAAATTAAATTTTGTATTGTGAATGATTTAGAATTTTACTCTATCTGTATTTATTAAAAAAATCGTCCACATAATTATAGAGTTATATCATTCTCTTGTCTTTAAAAGATTCTATATATGTATATATAGTTCTTATGAGTATATAACAAGATAACAATGTATTTATTTTATTATAATAATGTATTTATTTCGTACTTTCGCATTATATGTCATGTAGGTTACACAAAACGTTGCAATTATTTTAATATGTACAACATTTATGCAATTGTATTTATGAGCATCCAACCTCTAAACTAGGTGTTAAACCCGTGTTTTACGGAGTAGATGCTCCTAACTATGGCATAAACATTTTTAACAAGCATGGACAAAAAAATGTTTTCCTTGCAATTGGATTATGATATCACATAAAAGTACATGAAAAAAATGTATATATTTGATATGTAAATGTTATTTATTATTAGTTTATTTACGCCTTCATCTTCATTGCCATTCAATGTCAACAGACTTCAGGTAATTTTAATGTACCGTCCGTACTTACTTATCATGTACGTCGTAATGGGAATGAGCAGTTTGTATAGGGAATTTAAGCAGTTTTAAAATCACTTCCTTAAGCCTATTTTGTTCTCGTAAGTAACTTGAATTAGTTAGAAATAGAGTTTAATAATTTAGTAGGCGTATATTTATTATAATATTGTTGCGGTGTTACTTACGATCACATTTTGTCTTGCTTTATCGATATTTATTACTTTAATAAAATAAAGTGCAATATTAAATGTAGTGTTTATTAGTTACTAAACCGTGAATTCATATGACTGACATTATGATTGAACATTGCGGTAAAATTGTATTTTAATGATTCACATTTATTTAAAGACTAAGAAGTAGTTTGGGACAGTCACTATTATTGGAAATTTTGATGAGCAATATATCCCGCAGGGAGAAACAGTGCGGTAGAGAGTTGTTTGATATTATACGTACTTCATTTTAATTTGATCATAAATTATCATTCGTGCAGCTATGGTATTTAGCTGTAAATATATATTATATATATTTATATTAAAAAAAAATAGAGCACACATTCACAGGGAAATGTATGTAATTATACCCGTTTTGAAGGGTAATGGAGCTGGTGAAATTATAGGCACATGGAACTTGTGAACTTATGTCTCAGGGTGGCGGGCGCAGTCGCAGTACCCTTCTAACCTTTGCGTTTTAAGGCTCTGAGAGGTACTGCGAATGCTATGGACAGGCATGTCGCTTATTACCACGTTCACGACTTGGTCGTCCCGCCACTGGTATCATAATAAATAAACCCTACCCGTTAGACTATACCACATGTATATAATTAACAAAATTGGATAACATAATGTGTGATATCGTTAGAGCAAGATTGTTTAGTGATTGCACGTTGTATTTTAAGTCTGCGTATCCCGATGGGACAAAGGCGTAGAAATAATATGTTTGTAAACTTATTAAGTCAACGTAGTCTAAGAATTTGTGTATAATGTATTGCCATGTTTACATAACACAAATAATATTTAGATTATAAAAAAAACATTACTTAAATAATCATCTATTTATAAATAATACGATTGTTAATCGAGCAGTTGCAGTAAAGCTCCTTGTGAAAGAGTTCGTCCAGGGATGTACTGCCTCACCCATTTCTGCCGCCAAGCACTAATGTGAGCATTGCTGCCGGTTTTGAAGGGTAAAGACGCTGGTGAAATTACAGGCACATAGGACGTGTCAACTTATGTTTCAGGGTGACGGGCACAGTGGCAGTGCTCTTCAGATCTTTGATATTTAAAGTTCTGAGCGGCACTGTAACTGTTCTGGACAGGCGTGTCGCTTATCACCAGGCGCACGACTTATTCGTGCTGTCATTTGATATCATAAGAAAAAAAGAGCATTTATTCAAATGGACTTTTAAAAACCTAACTTCAGTACAGAGTACTAAAAAAAACCGACCTCAGAAGTCATTCATCCCCTAGTTTATTCAAATATTTTCATCAAATTTAAATAGGACCACTTCTGAGATACCCTATTTCCAACAAAAAAAAATCAACAAAATCGGTTCACAACATACATACAAAAAAAAACATACAATAAAATTGAGAACTCCTCCTTTTTTTGAAGTCGGTTAAAAATTAGAAAAAAATTAATAGACACATTGATTATTATTGCTGGATTAAAATTAAGTTAATAAATTTAATATAATATTATTTTATTAACAAATAAAGTATTTTTAAATACCATTATCTTTTATTACGTGTCACTCATAAGGTAGTAGTGTGAAACCATGGTCTCCTTATCATCTTCATCCCTCTCATTACGTGTTCCTAAGACACGCCTTTACTTTTCCTGATTCCTGAAAAAGTTCCAACAAATATTTACTATGTATAATTAATACAAAAATATATATATATAATTAATACGAACACTCAGAAAAAAATCCTTCGATCCGGTCGGATTCGAACCGTCGTCTTCTAGCATACCGTGCCAGACGCTATACCAACTAAACAACGGAACGAACCAGCGGACCTCACGAATTTTTCTATGTGCTTTGTCGTATCTTTGTATTTGGTTTTTCAACGACTTTTTAGCCGTAACGTCATCTATGAGAAATCTTACAAAATTATTTCGTCACCAAGTTAGATACCTTTACAGCTACCAACCCCGGCTAGAGGTCGCTATTCATTGTATTTAAATTTAAATTGAATTGATATTCAATTATTTTTATGTGAAATTACTCAATTAGTTTGTTGTAATTATTAATACAAAGATCGCACACTCAGAAAAAATGTCTTCTATATATAATTATCTATATAACTAAGCCTAGTTAGCGTCTGGCACGGTATGCTAGAAGACGTCGGTTCGAATCCGGTCGGATCGAAGGAATTTTTTCTGAGTGTTCGATCTTTGCATTAATAATCATAACAAACTAGTGGAGTCATTTCACATAAAAATAATTGAATAACAATTCAATATCATTGTATTAGTTAATTATACTGTATTTTTTTAAATCACGTGCTGTACCCCATTGCTTGGCAAAGGTCCCCCATACCCGTCAAGATCTCAATTCGACTGAAAGTTTTTTTTTGTATGTATGTTACGCGATAACTACGTTATTTGTGAACCGATTTTCATGATTCTTTTTTGTTGGAAAGAGGGTACCTCCATAGTGGTCCCATTTAATTTTGAAGAAAATCATCCCATTTCAACCTGGCTGTTTGCTCCCCGCATCCGTAATGCCAGTCATCGAACGCAGGACTGTATTGTGCACTCCGTCAATACATCAATATACTGTATCAGTGCCTAAACTACTCTCCGGCCCTGCACCTCTGTCCTTGACCTCTAATTCTCGAGGGCAGAGTCTTCTCTTAAGTCTGCGCCTTCATCATGTTCTATTTTCATCTACACACTGCATTATACTCCCTCTACTTTACTACTCTCTCAACGCTTTCATATACCTTTCTTTTATACATAAAAGTATTCTTTACTTACAATATTGATTTCCCATTCCTTTAAGTGTGGTATTTGATTAAATTGAGACACTGAGACCAGCATCAATTTAATTTAGAAAGGTTTATTCCTTAAATCGATCCTACCAGAAATTGAACCCGGGACCTCCTCATTCCATGTCCACAGAGCAAATCGTTAGGCCACAGAGGTCGTGAAATAATGTGTAGTTAGATAAGGACATATATATGTAATTTAAATTCTTTGGAATTTGAAATCCCTCTTAACTCTTGGTTTACATATTACATCGAACATTTTATACTGAATCAATATAAGAACAACGGCAAGAAAATTACAGACATTTTCTACTTAAGTGTGGCCTGTGAAAGGGTTAATAAATGTATGTTATAATAACACTACAGTCTCATTGACGGGTATAAATAAATAATCATTACCTTTGAAAAACGATAACTTAGTGTATAACAAGAGATAGTGGGTTTATTCAAGTGAGGTAGCTTCCCTGTTTATTATTTGCGTTTTTCGCTGTTGAAAATATTAAGAGATAATCACATTTAAAGTGTGATCCTTGATTTTTTGATTAAGTAGAGAAGGTATTCTATGTGACGAATCGATTCGCTGTCTTGCGAAAGGCCGTACCCTATTTTATCCCCTGCTAGAAGTACTAAACAAGGTTTTTAATGGCTTAAAGTTAGGTTAGGTTAAAAGTTAGCTGAAAAGACATATCTTATTCGTCGTTTTGAGGGGACATACTGTGTGTGTGTATTTTTTTAATTTTTTAATTTTTAAACACCAGGGGCGTCTCGAGCGCGTTCCCATCTCTTAGGACTCTTCTCAAACCCCTTTTGAAGGACTCCATATAGTATCATAAAAAAGGTACGATTATTTTAGTTGTTTAGGCCCTAATTTAGTTGTTTAGGACAAATTAGCAGGCACTCTGACTTTCTTACATCAAAGAAACTATCATTATATGAAAAACACATTCGCAAAATTATGGATATTCCGTGTGCTACAAAATGGATAGATAAGTTAAAATACAGATAAAGCGTTACATTTGAGATAACAACGACCTGTTTGACCGTGACGTCAGCCTTGCTAAGCGTCGGTATGATTGTTTACTTAGTTAACATATTACAATATACCTTAGAAGTACTTCCTAATCCGTTCGTTACAGTAACAGCGTTAACTTAAAATTACATATAAAAATATTACGGTTCGGGGTACCCCGTTTCACGACATGTATGTATAAAAAAAATTGTTTTTACAGTGCAATTTCCAAGTGCTTTCTTTCTTTCCATAGAGAAGTATCAACAACGTTCTGACAAAATTCAATGATTAACATACATTGAACATTTTATATTGAAAAGCTCTACGGCAAGAAAAGCTGACAGTTTTGTGTTTAATATTACTGTGCTTTTTCAATTAGCCATGCCGAGTTTTTGTTTAATTTGAAATTTGTTCCCTACTCATGCCTTATTTCCATTTCTAGGTTCATTTATAAAAACAATTGACTGAATAGCGAGCAGATGCTAATTAAACTCGTAACCTTGGTATGACGAAGTCTCATGAAAGGCTTAAAAATAATAAAAACATACAATTACGTCATAAAACATACAGGCCAAATTGAGGCCATCAAGGGCCAGGTCAAAAGTACCCTTAACCGACGCAGGTGTATGAAAGCACAAACATATTATGTATTTGTGTACTTCTCAATAAGCATAGTAAACTCTCCCTTCGTAATCAGGTGAGATTGTATACGACCTACATCCGCCCAATTATGACGTACGCTAGCGTCGCATTCGTACTCGGCTCTCCAAAATAGACTCATGCGCAATGCAACGGGTACCCCGTGGTCGTGTGGCTCCCCACAATAGCCCAATTCATGAAACAGGCATAGAGGAAATACTTCGACTCTGCTCCTCACCATCCCAACCCCCTCGTGGTGGCTGTATCCAATTACGAACACCCCGGCCATTGGAAGTCGGTCAAGGGAAATCCTCAACGATCCTGACGACCCTATCACTCTCGCCACTTTGAAGGCCAACCAGATCGCAAAACAGTCTCCACATGCACCAACCGTCATCGCCGACGAGGTCGTAGAGCCCCACATTTCAGCACGTACACTGGTAGATTGTCTCATAGAGCACGCCCTTCTGGCGGAAGTCCTCAGTATCGCCCTGAGTCGATGTCCGTGCCCACTTGGGCGCCCTCAGGCCCGCTACTTAGTTTTTAGTCTATTTTAGGGGTTATGAGCCTTCAGCTCGCTCTGTTTTTCAGTAACGTAGACAAGGCTATCAGCGACCAACCGCAAAATGTCCTTCAAAAAAAACGAGCTCATTCTTCGGTCAAGTGTCGAGTAATCAACAGCCCTTGAGGATGCCTCTGGGATAGGCGAAGCATGTGCGGAGAGAGGGTGGTAAAATTAACTACATGCAAAATATTCAACACAAGCACAGCCTATTTTGCACGATTTAACCTTCACTGGGTTCGCGGACTAGAAAATTAATTTACTTCCATTTTTATTAGTATTATAAATGCAAAAGTTTGTCTGACTGTCAGTTAAGTTTTTACGCCTAAACCACTGCACCAACTTTGTTGAATTTTAGAGATAAATGGGCTGGGTTACATGGGATAGGCTTCTATTTGTCACAAAAATAAATCTTAAATGCGGTGACGTAGAGGATGAAAATTTGTATGGACAATAAAACTATAAAAATTTGTGTGCCGCTTTCGATAAGAACGGTCCAAAGTACTCTTTGTACTTTGTAAATCCTATTATAATGTCCATTGTATTAAAAAAAATATATTAGTAAGTAGCTACATAGTGTCAATTATAACCAATGGATGGAAAAATGTGTTCCATATACAAAGATACATGTATAGATATAGTTACAAGGAGTGACATAGAGTTGTTAAAACCACCAAATTTTAATTAATAACTTTTTTCGAATTCCGGATTTCCGAAAATGGTTGTACTGCGTCGTAGTACAATACTACTCCTCTAAGAAGTTAAAATTCGATTTTGAAGTAATTCTAGTGGTGCCATTTAAAAAAAATGCAGTAGGTAACTGCGTTTTCATTACAGTAAGCCTGCTTGGCGGAAGAAATTAGTATGGTGGCCTGGACGAACTCTTTCACAAGGAGCTCTACTGCTACTAAAATGATGATAATGACGAAGATGCTAATAATGCTAATGCAGCTGATGATGCCTATTTATACCGTACCGTACCGTGTTCAAATAATGTATAGGTGAAAACCTGTAATTGGCTTTATGTTCCTTTTCCTGTTTTTGTTAAATGTAAGAAGCTGTTGGTTTTCCATGAATAAATAAAGAAATGTTTCCTATTTTTTTAATTTTTTTTATATAGTTCGGTATTGCATTATATATTTGAATCACCAAGTAGCGCTAACCGGTACATTAGAGCTGTAAATGGAAGTTTTAGTTGGTTTAGACAACGATTGTTTCGTTTTATGGTTTTTATGGGAGTATATAAATCAAAATGTTTGTGTACGAATTTGCCACATTCCAAATGATAATTTGAAATTAACGTTAGAATTAGAATTTGATATTTTTTTTTTATAACATTAAGCGACTGGACGAGCATATAGTGCGCCTAATGGTAAGCAACACGCCTCTTGCAGTGCCACCCAGAGCTTGAAATCGCAAAGATCTGAGGGGCGCTGCCACTGTGTCCGTCACCCTGAGACATAAGTCGACAAGTCCCATGTGCCAGTAATGTCACCAAAAATGAAGAAAAATAATGAAAAAACAATGAAAAGATGTTTTAAGAAATACCTATGGTTTACATGATTCTATTCGTCGATGGTCAATATTCAGAAGTATTGTAATAATGCACGTCTTTTGAAGTATTACTAACTGTTCTGTTCATACTCGACTGTTCATACTTATTATTCGCAGACGAAGTCGCGGGCACCAGCTTGTTTAAAATCTTACTCATTTTGTCGCACCGCAAACTATTAAGTGCCTAGTTAATAGGTGAATAAAACTAATCAGTATGATGGATGGCGTTAACTGTGTGTAAGCAGCATTTTAACGTTTCAGGAGGAATTAACGCTTACTTAAATTTCATCAGAGAGAAAAGGACGCCCGATAGTTTTTCCTTCGTCCTTATTACTTGATTTTATGATTTCCACGTTGCAAATTCGTTATCGGTCACAGACAGAAAGTTTTAAAACTAAGTTCCAGGTTTCATTCTCCGTGATAGCACGTTTCACCTCACTGTTTTAGTATCTTGTTGGTTTCAGTACGAAATAGACGTCTATCGAGGTGGTAAACAAGCTTATCAGGCTTATCAGCTGATAACTAAATTTTTAATATCCTTGTTAGTGTGCATAACAACAGAGGAGATAGACATTGAAAATGCGTACAACAGAGAAGCCTGGCGAATTCGAAGCGACGCAGAAGATGAAATTCACTAAGACACAAATGGAGTTCAATATGAAATCTATAAGGTTTCTATTGCTAACCATAACATCGATGTTTATTGTAAGTAATGTGAACTAGCTTAGGAATTATACACTTATCAGTCACTATTTAAATACAATGTAAAATATTTTCTTTCGAAACATTTCAAAATGTCACGTTAAGTGCCTTCAAAAGCCTTTGTTTCTAAACGTCTAGTCTAAATAAGGTTTTGAGGTTGCATGGAAGACACCTAGAATATTTTTATTCTCAATGACAATATATTATTACATATAGAGTGCCTCCGTGGCCGAACGGTTAACATGCTGGACTGCCACGCAGAGGTCCCGGGTTCGATTCCCGGGCCAGTTTGGGTGTAATTTGTGGTTGTCTATATATGTGTTTAACTAGTAACTAGGCTATGAGTGTGTGCGCGTTATTATTATAATTATAATTGTTGTCCTTTGCCTCGGAATTCAAGGACCGATTTGCTTCAGAAATGCCAAAAAAAAATCAATGAAATAAGTGGCATCAGTATAGTGAGATTGTGGTGTTAAGTAATCACCAGAATGTTGCGCAACATATGCATTAAAATTCGATGTTTCTAGAGCCTTAGGGCATTCGATTAATCCATTAATCTACTTGGTATCGTATCAATGACATGCATTATAATAATAATAATTTCGATTATTGCCCAGGATACGCCAGATGTCCATAAAAGCAATCGTACGTCGTGAGAATCCTTTTTCGCTCACCCCAATCCATCAATAAATCCATCTTAAATGCACAATCCATATAAAGATCTTACTAAGGTCGACGGTCTATATATATCAATAATTGCTCATGGATTGTGCATCCTTTCAGAGTTTTCTGAACTTCCAATGAATAATCAATCAATATTTTATTTTCATAATATAATGAATAAAATTGGGTCCCCGTGACAAGGTGCCCAAAATGCTAGCAGTATTGCCCCTTTGTATGGCTATGCTAATGCGTTGGGCAAGGTAGATCCTGAGATGCATCTTGCGATTTGAGAGATATCATAGTAGATACGTACATAATACCGAACTTGAGAGTTGTATACTAATAAAGGTACCTATAGCAAAATTGCATCAGGAGACACAAAAATTTAGGTACATTATGTTCTCCAAACTGTGGTGTGTTTTCGATTTTGTTCAATTATCACGTTTCGAGTCGGCATGCAGTTCCTTTTGTAAAACCGTCCCCAAATTTTCCATTATAGATAATATTTACAAAAGAATACAATTTGGACAATGAACTATTTGCACATTGTATGAAAATGCGTGAATATTATTTTGCAATTTTATTAATAGTATTATAAACTGATAAGGCAGCTCGGCGCTTATTGTGGCGTTGTTTTGCCTCAATAATTGTCAACCATAACGTAAAAAAAATCCCCGGAGTTGAAATTATTTGTCCTGTTCCCAATAAATTTGGGAATTTTTCTCGACTTAAGTCTCAATTATTACTGCAATCAAAACAACTAATCAGACGCCAAAGGAACCATTCAAAAAGATTCACGTTACTTCCATAAAAGACTACGGGTCATAGATGGATATCAATAATTCTCAGGTTTATATTGGGGTGCACGAAAAGCACCTCCCCACAGGATGTACCATTTCTTTCCTTGGCTCACCGTGGGCTATATCGGCGAGAAGCTTATGCTAATTGACAAATCATTTCACCACTATATCAAGCAATACAATGGATATGCCATTGATACAATAAGAAGTTTTATTATTAAAAATTCACGAGAAATCTTTTTGTTACTTATTCATTATAATTAGTAGAATAATGAAAAAAGGAACAAACGCAGAAAACGTCATATTTTATGTAGCAAAACTGTACATTTCAAATTCGTGTAAGATGGTGATTTGGATAATTTCGACAACACACGAAGTGTTAAGTAATTTAACTAACTTTAGTACTTCTTTCTTAGTAATTAACACTATAATATAGCTTCCTTATACTCGAGTTAACATACTGTATTTAAATTTGAATAGGAGCCTATACGCTTTTCCATTTACATTGACATGAAAATGCAATCGACAACATTGTTTTAATTCTTTTACTATGTTAATATATTTATTTATAGTTCTATTTACTACGTTCACTGGTTAATGTTTACACGATATTAATCAACAATAAGTATGTTAAATCCATTTTCAAATTTTTTACTAGGTATGA